AATAAAAAGCTGTTAATTTGACATTACAAACAGACACTTTAATTTTATTTATTTGTATAGATTATCTTAAATTGAATGTTATTTATGGGCAACAATGTTTTTGCCTACCAATCGACCCTTATGCATGTGTGCGTAAGTTCCGTGTCGGTAAGCGACCAACTTCTTCATCAGGCCGGATGTCTGCTTGGAGGTCCCAGTCTCGTAACTCCTGGTTGTGTAGTTACTCTCAAATCCTGTATACGCAAGGCACATACTTTTGGATTTGCCTTTAATATAGGCTTCTATTGGGCCAGGGAGCTGATGATTTCCACTAAAAACCTGATTTAGAAATGAGTCTTCCTTGTATGTGGAATCCCCATCCTCTTGTCTTAGTCCGATAAGACGCACTGAACCCAGTAATAAAACCACGCCGACTTCGGCACTAATTTTGCAAAGAAGGGCTGTTGCGTTGCAATAACGTCGTATTTCCTTTTAATCAATGGTATGAAACCTCGTCTGTTCTAGCAAATTCGTTGGTGCGGCGGTATGGGGCGACTCCCGCATAACCCATCATATCGATTTCCGAAAACATCGGCTTATTTTTAGGTTTAGTCGGAATCGTTGCAAGCCTTGTTGCTTTGGGTCCAGACTATGTTGCGTCTCTGGGTGGCAGTGGTGGTGCTGTTGCATTTTCTGATCCGTTAGACCGTTTCTGAAATACTTTCGTCCATTGTTTTCGTATTTTACTTTCCTGAGCAGGTGGTAATCAGGTAGGTAATCTGTGCAACTTGATAAGGTACGATTTGATGGATATTATAATGTTTTCTACTGGCTAATATAATATAATAATAATAGTACTAATAGGTATTCGCAGTGAAACGAATTAATTTTATTTCTTGCCATAGTATACTTCGATCTTTCGAAATCTTTACCATATTTTTACGCTTTGTACTTATTATATAGATCAGGACGCTTAAATTAATTACCTGTATTTTCTGTGTTTTGTAAATATGATTAAGTCAATCGATATTGAAAACGATTTTGATATTTATATGTGTATTGAAAATCTTATAAAAATCTTGTCTTCTGCAGAAAACTGTAGATAATTTTAACTTTAGCAAATTTTTATTAATATGCTTGAAACTCTCTATAACCATTTCGCAATACTATATGTATAAGATAAAGTAGCGGTCCAATTGTACTTCCTTGTGTAACGCCTGATATATTTTGCAGTTTTCGTTTATCAATAAAGTTTAATGCCAGTGTTTTGCCTTTCATTGAGTGAGAAATAGGATGTATTTGCGAATTTTACACTTCTGAATCGATAATTATGTATCTATAAATGTTTTTAGTAAAATTTTACGATGTATTATTTGTTTTATTTTACTATAAAGTGTAGAAAATATCTCCGTCAATAAAATTATGTGTTTAAAATAATGAAGTATGCAAGAATTTGGAGATGGTTAATTTATGAAATTTGAGCGTCAGACTGTGTAATAACAGACTGTTCTGTGTATGTGTAATATTTCGTCAAACTGTGGCGAATGCCACAACTTTTGTTTTCAGACATAAGATTTTCCAGGTGCGCTTCAAAAACTTTAAAGCTCTTACGACCGTCAAAATCTACAAAAAAAAAAAACACAAATCTTTATATTTGCTCCAGTAATACTTAAAATTAAATACATTGTTGGAACACTCCTTTTAAGTTAGGAAACTTTTGTTAGGAGGCTCCGCTCTTCCCGTCTTTCATTTATATAAATTAGTTTTTGAAGAACTTGGGTAAGCCATAGATTTTTGACTTATAGTAAAACTTATATTATATACTATTTTTACAATAAAATATCTGTAGGTGTTAGTTGTGTGATTGTGTAGTGTACGTGTATGTGGTGTGTATGTGTTGAGGTAAGGTATATTTAGTAAATTATTAATTATGAATAACAAGTAATTATTTCTAAAAGTGTTTCGGTTTCGTTGTAATTTAAAGTGTTCAACAATTCTATTGTTTTCTTTTTAACTTCTACGCTATGTAATGGATATATGCTGAAGATTTTATTTATTTTATTTATTATATAAGTATACTGCCCTTTTCTCATATTGTACTGAAGCAAATGTCGTTTTACAGCGATCGGTACATAGAACTATGTAGTTTCTTCTTTTGTTTGTCTTGTCATGTTCATACCTGGTAGATTTATGAATTTTAAGCAATAACAAAATGTATAACTTTCGAACTGACAAGACACCAGACAAATTATAAAGGTCAGTAAGTGGGGAATCGGTATGGTTTTGAAATACCTAGTAGACCTTAAGTAGGGCCACCACATTTTGTGATACCTATTGAGTAAATAATTAAAAAAATCTTCCTCCCCAGTGCCAGCTCCTTCCACTTGACCGCATCCAGCGCAGAGCGGTTCGAATCGTCGACGACCGAGTTCTTTCTGATCGACTTGGCTCACTGGCACTGCGTAGAGATGTTGCATTTATTTGCGTATTTTATCGCATCTATTACGGGGAGTGCTCTGAGGAATTTTTCGGACTAATTCCAGCCGCTCAATTTCACTATCGCACATCGCGACAAAACTCGCGATACCATCCATACCATCTGGATGATTGGCGGTCCACCACTGTGCGATTTAGAAGTTTTCTTCCTCGCGCAAATTCTTTGTGGAATCGATTACCACCAGCGATTTTTCCGGACCGATACGACTTAGGGACCTATAAGAAAAGAGCCTACTCCTTTTTAAAAGGCCGACAACGTATCTGCAATTCCCCTGGTGTTGCAGTTATTCATGGGCGGCGGTAGTCACTTACCATCAGGTGAGCCGCATGCTCGTTTGCCCCCTCTCCTGTATAAAAAAAAATCTACAAAGATTTTTAAAAGACGAGCTTACAGTACAGCCAATGGACACTTGTGCGTTGTCACCTCTTATGTCTCAAAGCCTGTAGTTTTAATGCGTCTCTTACCTTTCAAACCGGTAGACATCTGTAGGTATCCTGTTCGGCGCTAGAAACAGGTAAGCGGTTAGTATCAATCTAGAGGGCTCCTAGTGGCCCTGCAACCCAGTAAACCCTTCACATCTTTTGTATTGATTTCCCAGCTTTAAACTTTATTCATTACAGCCTATCAAAGTCCACTGGTGAAATTAGGATGCCAGTTGCAATTACTGTTGATAGTGAGTTTCTCTAAGTTGTCCAGGAATAATACCTACCTCGGGCGGATATTGCTACTAGGTAAGAATAACTTCGAGAAGGAAGCCGATCGGAGGATTCAGTTAGGGTGGACATCATTAAGAAAACTCCGTCAGGTTTTCTCGACGCCTATACCACAAACTCTAAAGACAAAAGCCTTCAAACCAATGCGTTCTGCCCGTACTCACTTATAGTGCCGAAACTTGGACATTGATGTTACGGCTACTCGGCAACCTCAAAATCACTGAGCCAGTGATAGAAAGAGCTATGCTCGGAGTTTTTCTGATGGATAATATTCGTAGTGAAGAAATCCGCCGGAGAACCAAGCCTTCTAGCCTTCCGTGTTTGTAAAATGAAGTGGCAATGGGCTTGTCATGTCTATCGCAGAAGTGACAGCCGGTGGAGTGGAACGCCCCCTGAATGGAGCAACGATCTACGCAATGTGGCTGGTAGAAACTAGGTCCGTGTAGCCGAAGACCAGGCTAAATGGCGCGCTTGGAAGAGGCCTATGTGCAGCAGGGAATTGCCACAAATTGATGATGATATATATAGAAATATCCCCCATATTTGCCATAGCTGCCACGCTTGGCAACCGCAGTTTTTTTTTTTTAATTTGGGTTATTACCAGGAAGAAGCTGCTGCCTATCTCTTGTTTCATTTCCCACTGTGGCTTTTACGTTACCCACGGGATATTATGGGATATTGGATTCTCTTACGCCTCTCAAGCTCTCAAACATGTTACGTGCATCAAGATAAAAATTAATAACGCCTTTTATGACTTCATAATAAAAAGATTTAGATGTACCTCGGGTTAATCTTTACTTAGAGATGGTATACAAAAGCTGCACAAATATGTATTTATTTATTTAAAACATTACAATATTAAATATTTCTTATCAATCGAAACGCGACGAAATGTTGACAACAATATTATTTTATTACTTACAAACTATTAATACTTGAATTATTAATAAGTACATTTTATAAATTTACTCTATACTTATAGTTTATTCTACGAAATTTTAAGAGAGTTTTATTCACGTCCGTTGTGGTTGACGGAGCGCAATAAAATATGTATGTTATGGACCAACTGATTAACAGGGCATTATTCATAATTACCAGACAGTTTAAAACACAACAATATAATATAAGGTAGGCAATATGATAAAAAAACTATCGAAATAATCAAATTGAGCGGGCTTTATGAATAATTACTTATTAGGCAGTGTATGAAAAGATAGGTTAGGCTAGTTTTTTTTTTATTTCACATATTTAATACTTAAATACAATAGGAGTAAAATTTTTCATCAAAAGTATTTTACTTCGTAACACAAATGAAGAAATACCCCATTGCTGCTATTTGATATTGAAAGGTGGTTTTTCTCTTCTTTCACAATTTAACACTTGTAAATTTCAAATTTGGTACATTATTAACTTATTGTCTTAAAATAGATTACCATGGTTTGGTTGGTTGGGCTATATCAAATTGCGCAAGATTTACTTAGCAATATACACAATGACAGGACAATGTGATAAATAAAGCTAAAATCAGTATTAATTAGGTAGCCCGATTTGAATTGTCATTATTCATATTGCTCGGGCATTATAAATAGTGCCCTAACTAATCAAATTGTTCATAGCATATATAAGATCAATTTTTGATAACATTGCGTTTGCATTTATAGCGTTAAAATTACAAGGAACTTTTTAAAATGTTTTGGACAAAGTACAACTTATAATAAAATTTAATTGAATAACGCGTGATGGTTAACAGTACGGACTATGTCAAGCCTCGTCGCTGTATTTCGGTGACGGTTCAGTGCTAAGGAAGCGCGTCAGCGCCGGCGACCGAAGCGGAGGAACGAGTGAACGACGTCTTGCCTCTTCATGCCCGAGTCTAGCAGTTGCGGGTAGTCCCGGACTAGAGCTGAAAATAAAAGGATTATTATTACACATTAGTTTATTAAAGTTAGGAAACCTCAGGCATAATATATTTTATAATATGCCTGCAGTCCATACATTTAAAAGCCTGTAGACGGCTAAGCTAAAACCGATTCTACAAAACTGCGGTGTTTTGACAGTTTGCCACCACGTGTACCTATGTAGGAATTTTGTAATTATTTGTAAAAACCGATCCGCTATGTTTTATATCACAGATAATATAGTACCAATTTAATGAAAGATCTTAACATAATTTTGCCACGATGTACGCATAGCAAATACGGGATGGTTATGATCCTATGAAAATAAAAACGTGTTTTTGTTTTTTACTACGGCAGCATAACCACCGTTTTTCTTTTCATCAGTTATCATATATTATAGAGAATGTACTTTTAATTTTTATTTAAATATACCTACATAAAATTATCTTGTTTACATTGCTTTTTTGTAGTTCGCTAGTTTAGTCTATAGATTTTTTTTCTAATAATTAGACTTTTTTAATTAGACTAGATTTAGACGAAACAACGCCATCTAGTCGTTTATGAGACATTTGCCTTGGTATTTTGACATTTTTCACCAGCAACATCGTAGATCCCGGTCACAGCTATACACGAAACAGCACTATCTAATTATTTTTACTGAAAATTTGATAGTCATAACTTGATCTATCACTAAAGACGAAAGAGTGTAACCTAGCATGCATTTACCTTGGTACTCGGGCACCTGCTCGCCGGCGGCCTCCGCGTACAGCTCGAGGAACGTGTTGAGCGCCTGGCAGAAGCGAATGGCGCGCGGGTCTTCCTCGGCCGAGCCGGCGCAGAGCTGTGCGGGCGCGGCCAGTGTACAGCCCGCCAACGTCGCCAGCACCGCACACAGCGCCACTCGACTCCATTCCTTGCTGCAGACAACATTTTGCCTTTAGAATCGCATATAATTTACGCGGCAGTAACCTAATAGTCGAGGCTACGAAATGTCAAACTAAAAGATCGTGGATTCGAAGTCATTTTTTTTTTTCAAAAAACAAATTTATCCGTCATTCGAATACTGTCTTGGTGTGACCTAGCTTAATTTGAGTAGTTAACGGGTATGGGTTAGTTTTTTTCGATGCGCGCGCACACCGACCCCTAAAAACGACACCATGAAGTTGTTACGATGCGCGCGCAGACTGACACCTAAAAGCGATAACTTCAGTGGGTAATTGTCTCTCAAGTTTTCGTGAGTACTGATAACTATATTTAAAGTAGTTATTCAAATATATATGAATCTACAACACGTGTTTTATTTAAATTGTTGTAGAGTATGTAAGCCCTATTGTAGACTTATGCAAAAACTAAGATCTGACAGTTGTGTTACTTGTGTTGTCATTCAATAAAAGGTATAATTTTCATTTGTGTTTTAGTGTTAAAATCCTTATTCCTCATAAATACACTATATTTGGCGACGAGGACCTTATATACACATTATTGAGTGCAATAAAGTTAAATAGTTATAAAAACTTAAAAAAATCAACGCCTCCAAAACACAAGCGTGTCTCTTCACTGCAAAAAGGAGCCAGCTCACCTCGGCTCCTTCTTTCCGAAATGTATCCCTGGAATATACCGACCACCTTCAGTTGTTAGGGTTTGAGATGTCCTCAAATCTGAAGTTCGGGTGGTTCAATGAGTCCAAGGCCAAAGTAGCTGCAAGGAAGTTGTGCGTCCTTGCATAAAGTCCAAGCGTGCATGGAGTATTGCTGCCATATATAGGCTGGTGCTGCAAAATGCCACCTAGCAGCTTTGGACTCAACGGAAAAATGTGCTAAGAGGCTTTTTGGTGACCCGAATTTGGTTAAAACCAATCTTATCAGCCTCAAACACAGACGCAATGTAGCCAGCCTTTCGGTGGCTTACTAAAATATAAAAAAATAAATAATGTCTAATAAAATAAATTTGTTGTTCGGCAACAACCTCACATTTTATCACCACATGCAAGAGTGGGATGTTTTTAAGAGTCGATTTTTGTCCAGTTCTGTATGGCAAATGATTATCACGATGACACAGACAAAGCAGGAGTTATGAGAAGAGCTTTTGGCTCACATCATTAGCAGAAGATACATATCGCCTGGTACGCGATTTAGTTTTTCCGTTAAAACCAGAAGACTTAGTTTATAAGACTTATCGAAAAGATTAACAACTAGTTTTCCTCAAAGAAAAGTGGACGCTGTGGCTCATCTATATATCTATAATCAATTCAGAATCAAAATACAGTTGCGTCGGCACCCGTGAGGACTAAAATGGTACCTATACCTCATTACCAGAAAAAAGGGTCTCTAGTTCTCTACACTCATCAGACGAAATACAGCAGCATCAAGCTGCTATTTTACGCTGGTATTCTGTGAGAGCGTTGTCCTTCCCCGGTCGAGCCGACCCATTCGTGCTACAACCATAATATAGCTGCAGCGTGGCTCTACCAATTTATGGGGAGCAACGTGCAAGTCTATGGAATAGGCTCTATGGAAGATACTTTTATAATATAAAAATGAATCGCTGATTGTGTTGCTAAGCGCAAATCTGGAGAGCAACTGAACCGATTTCGCTAATTCCTTTTTTATAATATTCCTTGATGTACAAAGATGGTTCTTACGGAGAGAAAAATTTAAAAAATTGCCTGAAAAAGTCCAAAAACAACACTTTTCTATATTCCCATACAAAAGATTCGTAATAATACTTAAAAGTGAATTTGAATATCATACCATAAAGTTTAAGTGTTAGTGGAGGGGTTCCGGGAAGGCAAAACAGTTGAGTGACGTTAGTATCGTACAAATATTTGTCAATATTTATACCATGGAAGCTTAATTTAGAATAAGTATAAATAAAATGAAATATAATAAGTAGGTATCATAATAAGAAATCAGAAATTGTAATTTTAATTGTGATTTTTTAGTGACTATTAAAAGATTTTTAAGTGTTTTATAATTTTTATTATTTGACATAATGTAATTGTTGACTTATCAACATTCTTTTTTTATGTTACTAGCTGAGCCGGTGTTCCGAATAGCAGAATAAGTATTAAAAAAAAAATTAAAGAATCGACTGTTAGGCGGTACGAAGTTCGCCGGGTCAGCTAGTGGAAGATATTTCAGAAATATATCAATACATCTCAGTGTTGGACGGACTTGGTTATGTCATGCTCGTTTAAAGATCTTTGCTTGTGGCGTTGCGTGTGACGGGTAGTCCACTTTCCACTCTTTAATATCGTCGGGGATGGTGATGGCTACCACATGCGTCATACTTGTAAACAAGTGCTGCTTGTGGGGGTTGGTCTGCTCGGGTTTGCCATACACTGATAAGCTCCATCGCTTTTTTAGTACATAATTTCTGTAGTGGGGTAATCACTGATTAGTTCTTGGAAAACCATATTTAGATTTTTCCAGTCACTTTTCATTTTGAATGACCATTTAGGATCTACATATAACGATTTAAAGTTCGTTAGCGACCATTCTCGCTTAAATTTTTAAAACTTATAATAAAGTGTGATAGTTTTTGTATAATCGTATAACGGATATTATTTTTTTTTTACGCAGTCGGGGTTTTTTATAACAGTATTAACCTTGCTTGTTTATTATTTATGAAGTTAGCGTATAACAGAACATTCGGCTAAATGTCTGGGTACTTTTAATTGGAACGGTTTTTTCATATTAGTAAAGAAACATTATGGTCGTTGTGGTAAATCTGGATGAACGTGATTTTTATATAATGAAAACGCTTTCTCTCAAACACGTTTGTTTTTTATGTATCATTCAGGTCGGTCTTAGAATTTTCTAGATATTTTTTATTTTTATAAAAATGTCGTTGAAGTATTATATATGTAATTATATTCTTCAAATGCTTCAGTTCTGGCAGAAAATTGATCGTCGTTATCGACCATCTCCTGTCGCTTGGCCGTCGTCGAAATTTTCTAAATACTTCTCATTGTATGAATTTTCCCCACAGTATGTATTGATGCATCAACATATTGTGTGGAAGAATTTTAACGAAGTTTTATAAAAGATACAAACGTCTGTAAAAACTTTAGACTAATAATAGTCAATGATGTATTTGGCCGTGATTTGGTCTAATGATAAACTGAAGGGCTATAGGGTTATGTAAATAATGTGTAAACGCGTTCATAGATTCCAATATTATAGATTAAACTAGATGACCCGGCGAACTTCGTACCGCCTAACAGTCGATTCTTTAATTTTTTATTTTTTTTTAATACTTATTCTGCTATTCGGAACACCTAGCTAGTAAGATAAAAAAAGAAAAAAGAAAGTTGAAATTGTCTACAATTACATTATGTCAAAAAATTAAAATTAGAAAACACTTAATATTCTTTCAATAGTCACTCAAAAATCACAATGAATACGATGGAAACGTCACTCAATGGTTTTGCCTTCCCGGAACCCCTCCACTAACACTTAAACTTTATTTCATGGTATTAAAGATCAAATTGACTTTTAAGTATTATTACGAATTTTTTGTATGGGAATATAGAAAAGTGTTGTTTTTAGACTTTTTCAGGCAATTTTTAAAATTTTTCTCTCCGTAAGAACCATCTTCGTACTTCAAGGAATTTTTTTTTTTTTTTTTATAGGATAGGGTGACAAACGAGCACACAGTCCACCTGATGGTAAGTGGTTGCTGTGGCCCATAGACATTTACATTTATCTTCGTTTGTGAATCAAAATGCAGATGCGTTGTCACCCGTGAGGACTAAGATGGAATGCCTTTTTTCCAGTAAAAAGGGTCTCCGGTTCTCTACACTCACCATACGAAACACAGCAGTGTTAAGCTGCTATTTGACGCTGGTATTCTGTGAGAGCGTGGTCCTTCCCCGGTCGAGCCGACCCGTTCGTGCTACAACTATACTACTAATACAGCTGCAGCATGACTCTACCACGTTAAAAAATATTATAAAAAAGATTTTTATTTTATATAAACGTTTTTTATAAAAATTAGCGAAATCGGTTCAGCTGGTCTCGAGATTTGCGCTTAGCAACACATTCAGCGATTCATTTTTATATTATAGAAAAAATTAAGAAGTAACTTACAAGCCAATGAATACTTTGTTATTTACATTATTTTTTAACACGATTTTTATACGCTTGACTTTTTCGTATGTACCTATGTATAGGTTTATGTATGAATGTAAACAAATTTTAAATTTAGGTTCAACATTTTTAAACGTCTAAATCATATGAAATTTCGCAAACGTTTTAATAACCTATGACAATACAACAATTTTATACAATTCCATTCATCCATTAAAGCCTAAAAAAGTCCACTGCTAAACATAGGCCTCCTATTTGAAAGGATTTTGCCACATTTGCCACGCTTTGCTTTTGGATAAATCAACTCAATTTATTATTTAACTGTTGCTAATTTACTTGTGTTGATAGTTTTCCCAGTTTCTGCATATTATTTGATGTTCTATCCCGTAGTTACACATTATTTTACTATGTTGACGTAAACAAAAATCAGTATTTTGATTTTCAAAGTATGGGCTGGCAAAATAGAATCGGGCAAAACGGATAGTATTCATTTGTTTTTCTTTCATTGTTGCAACTAAATGACTTTCTTTTTTTTGTTTCAGATGGTGTATAACTAACAACAAGAGAAAGAGTGATCGTGCAAACTGGTCTGAAGAAAGTCTGCAAAAAGCTTTGCTTGCAGCGCAATCGTCTTCAATATCAGATGCTAGCAAAAAATATGGTACGCCTTATGCAACTTTATACAGGTACTTAAAATCTGGTATAACTGCAAAGAAGCTAGGACGATTTGTATCTTACTTTATTCCTAACGAAGTAAATTATTTTGTGCAAAATGTACAGCGGATGTATTCAATTTTCTATGGCCTCAAATGGACCAGGACGAACCA